GTTGGGTGTTGGGCCTGTTCAGCCAGGGACCGAGAACCAAGGAAAACCAAGGCAAAGAAGTGGCAAAACACTTGCATTTTGGATGGTGAGCGGCATTTTCGAGTGAGAGTGAAGTTGGCGCAGGAACAGAAGACGAAGAAGAAGATGAGGCTCTTCAGGAGGCTCCAGCCAAGAAGAAGCCAACACTTTGCTGCTGCTGTTGCTGCTGCTGCTGTTGCTGCTGCTGCTGCTGCTACCTCTGCCAGAGTCAGCGTCACGACATTAACATTGCTGCGTGCTGCCTCAACGGCAAAGTCACAGTCAAAGCCAAAGCCAACAACAGGTTTTTGCCTCTCTCTTTCTCTCACCTCTCGCCACTCTGACTCTTTTTCTGCCAATCTCTCCCGATCGTTTGCTCTCTGAGCCGTGCTCTTGGTAACGGCTTCGGCTTCGCCTGCAACTTCGGCTGCGGCTTCGTTTTTACCTTCGTTTCTTTACTGCCTCTCTCACTCTCACACAAGTAAAAAGTTAGCTGTAAATTTGTTACGTCGCCGCAAAAGGTACATCTGTGTGCGCATATCGGGTACTCTTTGCATCTGTATGTGTTTGTGTCCCTCTCCGTTCGCTTGTTCGTGTGTTTGCGCGTCCCACAGGTGTGCGCTGCTCAATTCGACGCGCTGAATTCGCCGTCGCTTACATCACTTGCCGCGGCCTGTGAGTGTGTGTGTGTGAAATAACGTTAGTTATCCGTTTCCATCACACCTGTACGCGTCAGAGCAGTGCACTATGGGGCATTTGACCACTTTTTGTGGCATTAATTAATAACTTCCAAACGAAACCAAATTTTTGATTTAGTTTTCTGATTTAAGTCTATAATAGTGAAAGGAAGGTTTGTTGAAAAAATGGGCGTGCCACCGCATTTTCTTCAGGGTAAAATCGAATTTTTATTATATTTTTAAATTGAATCAAACAAAAAATGATGGGAATATGTAAAGCAATGTCATATTTTACTTAAAAAGTTGTGCCCGGATTTTTAAAAATGGAAAAGTAGAAGATAATCGGGTTTTTACATTGACTCCCTTGTATACTGCAAGTAGCTTCTTTTCTTTGAGTTGTTGAATGTGGGACACAATAGCACTGCACGGCAGTGCAGAATACTGGAAATGTCTCAACGTTATTAGAATTGTACAATTGAGCACGAATTTAGCCAATCTGCACAGTTTTTTCGATTTGTTTCAAGTTTTCGTAAAAATGTTCAATTTTATCAACAAACTGTAAAAAAAAGTTCTTCAAAGGGTCTACAAATAACCCGTATCGTTATCAAGGCTAGTGACAGGTATTAACAATTAAATTCAATGCAAATCGGCATCTTCTTCTGCAATTTTCTTCTTCACTCAGTTTAACATTGCTAACAACTCCGAAAATCCAAACTTTAGGTTATGTTACGAAGATTCAAATATCTGCGAAGACGCAGAAAAGCGCAAGAAAAAATAACATAAATTGGATTAAGAATTGAATTCTCCACAATATCTATGCAGTTTAATGCTTCCGGCGGGAACCGAACACTTTGTAAGTATATTCAAAGACAAATTTTCGTCACAAATATGGACTTGTTAAGAAACTAGCCATTAAAAATATTATGGGGTAAATTTTTTAATTTCAAACTCACAAACACCTTTTTAATACCTGCCTGAATCGAGGATATTGTAAAAAATTAACTTAAATTGGTAAATTTATCAATTTTTGCACTTTAAACTTCATGAACAAAATCAGTTTTTCGATAACTTTCTATCGTTCGTAGCAAACAGCTGACTTTAACAGCTGTTATCTTAACAGTGGCGGGCACTGTTAATTTTTGTGGGTACGTAACATTACGGACTGAAGTTATTCCTATGTATATCTGTTAAAAAAATATTACTTTTTTTACTTTTGACAAATGAGTTTCGGCCAGGAAAAGTGGTCAAATGCCCCATAGTGCAGTGTAGCGTTCTAGCTGTGTCGCTCTCCCCAGCTGTGGGCTCTCTCTGTTGCTCGCACTGCCTGGTGCTTGGTGCCTGCTGCTTATGCCTCTCCCTCTGCTGGTGGAAATCCTATTTGCCATTCTTAACGCATTCTAAGCGCCGAGGCAAAGTCTTCTCCATAGTTCTCGTCTCCGTACAAACACACACACATTCGCACATGCGCAAGAGCAGAGAGAGATACACACACACACAGATACACCTGATCCAGGGAGCGGGAGAGGCCTGCCTGCTCGTTAAATGCCTGCGCGCCTGCGGTGCCAACTATTTTGCCGTTTAATTTCGCTTATATGGTACTTTTTCCCAGTTTTTTTCTGTTCTCTTGCTATTTATTCTTATTGTATTTTACTTCTCGTCTCCTTCGTAGTACACACACACACACACACACACACGCACTGACAATAATGATGAAAATCTTGTAGGGCACCGGGGACTGTTGGAATTTTCGTAGCTCCTTCGAATATGTTCGGTTAAAACAAATGACTTAGGACACAAAGTTGTGGGTGGTATGCAGAACATGTGCATATGTACATACATACATTTATGTTTGGCTGTATCTGTATTTGTATGTACTCAATATTACATGAACTTAGCAAATTGTATGTCCGTTTGAATCGTCAGGAAGATTCAACCACTAGAAAAATAACAAGTAAAGCAATCAAAAGGTTTGGAAAAAAACGTTATATTCAAAATATTCCTTTAAAAAAAAACATCCCAACCAGATTAAAAAACTTTCTCTAGGGTCTGACAGTTTTTTTTAAATATGTATGTAGCTATTTACATTCAATTATATGCAATTTAAACGCATACATTGTAAAAATGTATTTAAAAAAAAATTTTTTAAAACGAAAAGGAACGTGTGAGACGGTTTTTACGGGTCACAACTTTTATAACCGGCACTAGCAGTGTTTTGTCAAATTTTAAATATTTTCTTCAACTGTCATCTACATCTACAACACTTCTCCCACCAACACGCTTCTTTAACTCGCCCCCCTTTCCTAGACTCACACACTGCAGACTCGTGGCAGAGGCAGCGCCCGCACACAAAAAAAACATATATAAGCTGCGGGACGGGGTGGGTTTACGCACTGCAAATGAATTTCTTCATTCTGGCTATAATAATGATCCAATCGGATCCCAATTTGGTGATCTGATAGATATGGCCATTTACCACGGAATGGCGTTTTTCGTTTTCTTTTATCTTCAAAATTGTAGGTTTGGAAGGTTTTCGCCCTTTTGCGGGGGCGGGGCAGATTTTTGAAATACACTGGTTTCAGTGTGAGCATACAGCAGTCTGGAGCCAAAATTTGGTGGCTCTAGCTCGTATAGTCTCTGAGAGCTAGCCGATAAACAAGACGGACGGACAGACAGACATGGCTCTATCGACTCGGCCATTGATGCTGATCAAGAATATATATACTTTATGGGGTCGGAAACGTTTCCTTCTGTGCGTTACATACAACCGTTATTCACACAAATACAATTACCCTATTTACTCTTCGAGTACCGGGTATAAAAATGCAAAAATTGCTTTAATTATAAAATCAGAAACTCAAACATTCACAAGAAATACCATTAAATTTCGAAATTTCTCGCAATTTATTCACAAATGATAACAAACGCTATCAAACGTTTGAAACTTGAAAAAAAAATAGTTGTGCGTCTTTGCCAGTATGAACAAAACGTGGCGCCCAACTAAATTCGATTTTTATTGCACCTCCTACTCATCTTTTGATTTCGGTTATTTCACAGTCAAGAGATGCAACGGGAGAGGAAAAACCAGAGAGCCCAAAGCCATCAACAAGAAGAAATGGTAGTAGAAGAGGAGGCAGTAAAAATCAACCTCTAAGTACAACAAGTACAGCGCACACACACACACACTCACACTCACACAGCGAGACAGACAGAGGGAGATGAAGATAGAGATACTAGTAAAACCATCTCAACCGGCAAATGGCCAAAGCAAAGAACAAACACAGCGATCATCACCATCATCATCAGCATGAACAACAACATCATCATGATGACGATGATTGCCTCTACCTTGACTCTGAACCAACAAGTTAGGCAACACGCACACACAAACACACACACACGTACACATGGCAGCCACACAGATACTCACTCGTACAAACACACACTGGGAAGGAACAACCAAAAACTGCATGTGAAACGTTATGTGAGCGAAATGAAGCAACGCACACAAAACACTCTCACTCTCCTCTCACACACAGGTGCTCGGTGCTCGGTGTTCTGTGCTCACGATGCGGCGGCGTCGGCGGCTCGCTCTCACCTATAGAACCGTAAGCCGTAAGGCGAATGGAGAACAGATCAACAGTCCAGACCCCAAGCCGAAGTCGAAGTCTCTTCTGACTCATTTGCACAAAAGCGAAGTTATGATCTCTCGCTCTCTAGCGACTCGGCTTACGGTGTTTTGCGTTTGGGCTCGACAAAAACGAATTCGCCCCGTTTCAGCGTGCACCGTTCGGTGTGGTTCGGTTCGGTTTGGTTCGGGGCAAGCCACCGTCTGTCTAACTGAGTTTGTACAACAAACGGCACGGCGAGATCGATCCGCGGATATCCGAGTGTGTGTGTGCTGACGGCGGGCGACTTTGGCCTAACTGCTCAGCGTCTGGGACCGCTCGAATACAGTAAGTGGCGAGCCGGCGTTGTGAATGCACGTGTTTTCGCTTCAACCTCACCTGAGCGCTCTCACCTGAGCTCTCCCCGCCCCCCGCCCTCACACAACTGACACAAAACAAAACACAGCCCAAACATATCACACAGAACGTATCGTATCCATACACAAGATCGAATTCTGTTCAACTAGAAACAACAAATACCGCGTAAACCGCAACACAAAAAAAAATTATAATTAAAAAAAAACTGTGAAAATACTTTTCGTGTATAGTGAGAACAAAACAACAACAAAAACCAAAAAAAAAAACAAAAATTAACAAAACTAAAACTTACGACATTTTTTTTCAAGTTAATTTTTTCCAAGTGCTTCTGACAAAAAAACAAGAAAAACATACAAACAAAAACACCAAAAAGAAAAAAACAAACAATAAAATACACCAGAGAAGCCGAAACATGGATTATTTATAATGAAGAAGCCTAAGCAAAGGTTCCCTTGAGCTTCAGCTCAGGATACAAACGAAAAATAAATCTTTAAATTGTATCTGCATTTTTTTTCTGTTGTTTGTTGAGCAGATTTTTGCACAACACAGTGGGTGGGGCAAGGATCAAACATACACACAATTGGATTAGTGTTTTGTTTATTCGGGAACCCTTTGAAGAACACCACCACCCACAAACTCTCCCCCACTGGCGCGTCTCGTCGCGTGACGCGTTCCGTTGCGTCGGGTTAATCGCTCGTGTTTATCGGTCGCCGATAGTAAGTCGTGTATCTTTAATCGCCAGCCACCATGCCGAAGATCTTCCTGATTAAGAACCGCCTGCATCAGCAGCAACAGCGCCTCCTCGAATCACAGAACCTGCTGCAGCACAAGAGCCAGGACGATGATCGATGCCTGGTGCCACCGCTCAGTCCACATGGCTCTGGCACACAGCACTCGCCCTCGCCCTCGCCATCGCCATCGCCCGCACATCCCCATCCCGAGCCACAGGGTCAGGGTCAAACGTCATCGCCATTCCAGCAGCAGGATGACCAACAGCCACTGAGTCTCACGCGAAAACGCTTCCACCATCGCCGTCACTACTTCGGACAATCGCGTCACAGTCTCCCGATAGACCATGGACTCAATCAAAATCACAATCAAAATCAAAACTCACCGGTATTGGATGTCTTACACAGCACAGCAGCAAGTGAAGTTCAAAATGGTAAGTTAACGTCAAATGGAGAAACAAAATCCAAGAAATAGTCGGGAAGAAATGCCAAACACATTTCACATTTAATTTTGATTTTGAGTTCTTTCTGGGATATGGGGGAAAACGTATTTGTTTGCAGTAGATCAGTGACTGGCATTTGGCCATAAGTTATTCCAACAAAAATTTCAAGTCTTTTGCAAATTTGTATCTGGGTGCTTTTTATACCCGGTAGTCGAAGAGTAAATAGGGTATATTGTATTTGTGGGGAATAGCGGTTGTATGTAACGCACAGAAGGAAACGTTTCCGACCCTATAAAGTGTATATATTCTCGATCAGCATCAATAGACGAGTCGATAGAGCCATGTCTGTCTGTCCGTCTCTCCGTCTGTCCGTCTTGTTTGTCGGCTAGTTCTCAGAGACTATAAGAGCTAGAGCCACCAAATTTTGCATCCAGGCTGTTATATACTCACAATGAAACCAGTGTATTTCAAAAATGAGCCACGCCCCCTTCCGCCCCCGCAAAAGGGCGAAAACCTCCCAAATCTACAATTTTGAAGATAAAAGAAAACTAAAACGCCATTCCGTGGTAAATGGCCATATCTATCAGATCACCAAATTGGGATCCGATTGGATCATTATTATAGCCAGAATGGAGAAATTAATTTGCAGTGGCTAAACCCACCCTGTCCCGCAGCTTTTGTTGTTCTTTTCTTTCTTCACTCGGCCCCCGCCTCTGCCCTCCCCCTGCCGATGCCTGTGCGGACTTTTAACCCACCCCGTCCCGCAGCTTTTATTTGTTTTTTTTTGTTGTTGTGACGAGTAAAAAGCGTCTCACACGTCCCTTCTCGTTAAGAAGTGTTCTCTTGGAAACGTAGAATGTACTCAACGTTAAGAAATTCTGCTAATTCTTCCCCCTCTTCAAAACGTATTAAAACTTATTAACATTTTTTCTTTCAAATCACTCCCTATGCACATACAAATTAGCTTCATACAAATTAGTTCTTGAATAAAAAGGAATTCCCATTCCCCCATTTAAATGAATAAATAATTGCCACAAATCTGTCAGTTGAGAATCAGCACAAAGTGCCATACAAAATGCCATATCTGTTGCTTGAAAATCTTTTAAATTTCAAGCTTCGCTTTTCGGTTATCTTTTTTACCCTTTGTTGTTCTCCTCCAGTATTCGCCCACACTATCACGATGATTCCTCCTCTCTCCTACTTCCCCCTCAATACTATTTCCGTCTGTCTATCTATCTACCATTCTCCCGCTTCAGAGACAGGGCTTACTTCAACATCAATCACTTTCATTGAATTTCGTAAGCACTCTGTTCTCCAGTTCTCAAGTTCTCCAGCTCTCCACTCCTCTGTGTTCTGGGGTTCAAATTCAAATTTGGATTCGGTTCTTATATAAGAAATGATTATTAGGTCATTTCGTTTTTGGATTTAGGCGGAGGTCGTTTGGTGTTTTAATTTCTCAGGCAATATTGGGGAACTTTCATTTGGGGGTCGCCTCTAGATTTGTTTATTAATGAATATCGATTCGATTTTCTGAAAGTGAATTTCATTTTGGAGGTTCTTCTACATTTACCTCTGCCTCTGCCTAAAAAGTCTGCTCTCTGTCAGGTTTGCTACCTAAGTCTTTTGTCTCTAAGCCATTTTTAACGTTCCTTTGCCTGGGCATTAATTATATATTGTGTATATAAGAAATACTAGCTACATATATCCATCTGTAGCTTCAACAGAATCATTATCATCTTCACACGCCACATTCTTAATTTGCGCCCCCCCCCCCCCCCCCACCACCCTTCTTACATGGGCATTAAATTTCATGGTTATAACTTTTTTTTTAGATTTATTAAATTAAATAACACGTTGCCTTCATTCCTTCACGCTTTTCCCAGTTCCGTCCCCACAGGTCTCTCTATCCATTGTCTCTTACTTCTGCTTCCACTTAAAAATGTATTATGAACGCTTCCGTTGGATAATTTTATGCGTGTTCTTTGCGGATATTGTAATGATATGCTATTCTGAAGGGAACTCGTTTGGCTCCTCTTTGGCCAATCTTTGGCTTCTGTTCAATCTTGAAAGTTTTCTTTTGCAGGAAATATTCTGTCGTTGAATCATAGATAGTTAAATTTATCCATAGATTACCAACCATTGGAACTCTTAGTTTCTTAGAGTTCTGGTTGCAAAAAATATATACCTTTGGTCACTCCAAAGCTTTCTATATTTATTTTTTCAATGCCTCTGCTTTTCGCTTGGGCCTTTGGTCACACTGAAATCTGGCTCTTTGTTCAATCATTGGACTCGACTCGCTTACAATACGGTTTTGGTTCTTATATTATTATTCTTATTTTAGTCTGTGGGCTATTCTGTGCCCATGGCCAAGAACTTCACACACATAGCCACAGTACAGCCACAATGGCAAAAAAAAAAGATAAAAAGAAGAAATAACCGAATGAACGAACGGAGGGATACAAAGAATTATATAACTATAGCAAAGTACACGCTACTAAGATACAATACACACACAGAGCTAAATATCCAACAATCTTGGCCAACAGCAAAAGTACAAGTTGCCAAAGAAGATGCGAAAAGAGTGTAGAGCATAGACAAAGATCATCATCATCACCATCATCATCATCATCATCATCATCATCATCATCATCATAGGAGGAACCCCAGGTTCAGTTTCGAATGGAAAAGAAAGGAATGAGATGGTAAAGGAAAGGAACGGAATGGAACGAAACGATACGGGGAAGTGGGGGATACTGATGGGTGGTGTGGTGTGGTGTGTGTTCGTCTGCCATTTGGCCTAAGCAAAGTCAAGGCAACAGGCCATAAAACTTGTAGAACCAGTAAGAAAAAAAAGAAAAAAGAAAAGAAAACCAAAGACGAAGCAGAAAAGAAGAACACGACCAAGAGCCAAGACCAAGAGCCAAGAACCAAGAACGCCAAGAGAAGCTGAATGTTGAAGGGCCTTGGAGGATGAAATACACAGCCTGGGCACAAGGGGAAACGACAACTGAGAGCAGAGAACCATGAACCGAGAAGAGAACAGAGAACACAAGAAAGCTCTTTGGGGGCCCAACACACCCGCTTATGATGCAACTATGTATGAATGTGTTTTCCCCCTAGGACAGAGGCCTCCTGCTCCTGCCCCTGATCCTATCTCCGTGAACTAACCCAGCTGTCTGCTATGTTTATTTCGGGGCAAACTTCCTGTCGATCCATCGATCCCATTTCTCTGTCTCAGTGACCGCAAGTAAAAGTCAATAAATAACTGAAAGGCAAAAAGGAAATTCATTGATGAGGCATCATCGATAAAGATACTACAAAAAATAATAAAAAGAAAGAAAGGCCAACAAAAACCAGGAGCACATTCATTGTTCCATGCAAATTCTGCAGCTGTTAGAACAAAGCCAGCGCGGATCGGAGTGCGATCCAGAGCCGAACACTTTTTGGCCAACTTCAATTGCACGCAGTGCAGAGTTCACTACACGCAGATGTTACAATCATTGAGCGGAAGTTAGCGAAAGGTCCCCCCTCGTCAAAGTAGGGAACCCCTTCTTGATCACAATCCCAAGATGCGAGTACTGGAGGTTCAGCGAACCCTCGGGGGGAACACACACGCATACACGCAAAAAAAGCAAAAGTCAAGTAAAGAGAAAGAAAACAAAGGGAAAAAGTAATGCTAATACATAGTATGTAATACTGTTACCTAAGAGCAGTTTTCTAGCGAAATCACATCAATTTCAAATCGAATTAATCGATTCTTATGTAGCGCGCCTGTCTAATTGGAGGGCAGATAATCGTTTGATTTTTTGTGCAACGCATTTTACGGGCTAAATCTTGAATTTTATTGGTGGAAGCAACTTGGAAATGATTAAAATCACTTTGGAATGAACTAAAAAAACTAATGGAACTAAAAGGGTAGAACACATTTTGTAATTTAATTTGAAACCTCTGACATTTATCTAACGATATTTGCATCCATGTATCCTTACTTAAGGAAGTTTGACCAGAGATGCATTCAGCATCATTATGTTTCAAATCAAACAACGTTTTTATATTGGTAAAAATTATTCCCAATAGGCTGGGCGCGGCATCGAATTCCATTTCCATTTCGTCTTACAATTACTTTTTTTCTACCGTTTGTTTTTCTGTTTTTCTGTTTTTCCTTTCCTCATCGTGTTTATGTGTATGTGCGTATGCGTGTTTTTTTTTTGGCATTAGTTCTACCTGCCGAATGTGGAGGGAGAGACTCGGATAAAACAATGCAGTTTGTGGTGTCTCTACCTGTGCCGTGGGCTCCAGAACCCTGCTCCAGGCCCAGGCACAGGCCCTGCTCAAAGTCTGGCGATAATCTCTCATACACAGTGGGTGAGAGAGGGAGAGTGAGGGAGAGAAGAATATATATTTGACAATCGGAATAAAGGCAATGGAAGAACTGAATAGAAGGGAGAGAGGGGAAAAAGGGCAGAGAGTGTCCTGAACACACACAAACACCGTTCCGTTGATAATGCTCAAAGCTGAGATTTATTTGTGCAGTGAGTCGACAAGAAGTAGAAGGAGAAGAAGAAGTAAAAGAGGAGAAAATACACAAAGCACAAAGGAAGCAGCAACAACAGCAGCAGCATGGCAGAGAAGAAGAGCAACAGACAGAAGTACGACTCAAAACAGGTCTCAAGTGCTCGGCAGCCGCTTCGCTCCACTGCGGCCGAACAGAGAGCAAGAAAGAGATATCTAGAAAGATAGAGTGAGAGCGAGACACAGAGGAGAAGAACAGTAAGAATACAGCCAGAGGGAGAGACAGAGAAAAAAATACATTTGAAAAAGAAGAAAAATAATATAAAAAAATAATTAAAAGGAAGCCCAGGTTTTTGTTCTGCTTTTGGCATGCAGTCGTTGATGGAAGCAGTAGAGGAAGCAGTGCAGTACTAAGAAAAGGAAAAAATCAGTACTAAGTAGGATCAAGGGAAGCAGGAGTAACAGTAGAAGACGCAGGG